TACCTTCAAGAAATGTATTGCTTAAGAACTAAATCACCTCATTAAGCAGAGAATTTGTTTGGATACAGGAAATGAAATGGTTTACCCATTTCAAGCCTGGTGAAAACTAAGAAAGAAGAACACAGAAAGGAATGGTTATGTTCCAGAGATCAACTCCTTTGTGATTTCATTATGTTGGAGGCTGGACTTCACGAGTGTGCTGAATGATTTTTTCACTGCAGAGTTCCACTTGTGATTGATAGCAGCCTGTCTGCACTGTGTGACATTGATCAAGTCCTGTGATTTCGCTTTTGATCTCTCTTGCTGCCCTTGCTGGGGGTTTAACCTATCATGCCAACATTCTGCTGTCTTGGATATTTCTTACATGGTCCAGACATTCCATATTCGAGACAGTTCTTGGTTTTAGGTCCTGATTAGAATACCTTGACTTCTGGGAGCCTATAATCAGTAGTGATCATACTGCCTATCAGTAAGCTAGAATCAACTGAGGGCCTGTTTGTAGGTGCTTAGTTTGCTGTGGTTTCTGTAACAGGTTTGTTTTTTCTGGTATGGCATTGTTAGCAACACGCCCGACAAGCATGCTGTGGTGTGCCAGTTTTGAGTTTCATTGAGCATTACGAGGATGAGCTGGGATGATGGGTGTCATCTTGAGGCTCAGAGACCAGTGAACAGGCACATGCTTCTACTGGTTCTATGAGAGGAATGGGATGTCTCTCCAACGAGACATCATCCCTCGAGGTTGCAGAATCCCATGAGAAATCATCTGTAACCTCGTGCAAAGAAAACAAATGCACAGCCTGTATTACTTTCAATGGTGGCCACATAAGCTAATAGCCTGCGACTTTCACGGTAGAAACCCTTATTGATCATTTCTGATGAGGGCAAATGTTTATCAGCTTAATGAATTAACCAATGTCTTGCCTGTTCAATAAAATGTCACTGCACCTGCTACAAAAAAGAGGTTATCATGATTCTTATAATAACAGTGAGTTTGCAGCAGTTATACTGTAAGTGATAGGTTTCTTTATTATGCTCAGTATATATTTCTCAAATGGGTCAAAGTTAAAAATAGGTTTGAGCAGGGAGCTGTGTCAGCTTGCTTTCGCTGCAGAGGTACAATAGAAGGTTAATTCCATGCTGAAAGTAGAAAGAAAAATACAATGTTTTGGCTATTAAGTCTTCTTTAGGTGTGAGGAGTTAAGCCTTAAGATTAAGCCTTCTTCTGTTCACACCTGAAGAAGTCTTAATAGCCAGAACATTACGATTTTTCTTCCTATATTCCAAAGGAGGAGTAACCTTCACTTGTTCCAAAGTTTAAAATGTTGAGTCTTTCTTTAAAAATAAAGAAAGGAATGCATTTTATTTTTAAAATTCTAAGGACCAGGGTGACAGGAAAAGACCCATGTGCAACATGCAGGGCGGATTATACTAAAGGACATGCTTTTCTTTGTCTTTTCCACTTCTTGACTCTCTATTGATTTTATATCTGTACCTCCTATCAGTCAGATTGTAATGAGGCTGCTTGAAATGTGCTGCTCTAAAAGAAATTTATTAAAATGTTAATAGATCATTCCAGCATTCTGTTCTGTTTCTTTGGCATATCAGAGATCTGCTTCACTTTAATGGGCTGGTCACTGCTTCTTTCCACACTTCATTAATCCAGAAAAAGAAAACATTTATCACAGATGACTTTTTTTGGGAGAAGGAAAGGGTCAAAATGCCTTTCAAAAGAAAATGTATTCATCTGTTTTCTTGTTGCTCTATAAAGCAGCAGGAGCAATTCATCACACCTTAACTTGCTGGCATGCAAGACTAGACAAACTGGCACAAGGTTGGGTGAAGAAAATTCAAGTGATGCTGTTTCCTTCACTGAAGATTCAGCAATGCTTGGATTTGTTTTATTTGAAAAACATTGTCTTTTTCTTCAGTCTGTATAGTACATTTCACCTCAGGCTTAAACACAGAACTCACTTACTATATATTTAATGAAAAATCCTTGAGTTCAGCAAATATCAAGCTTTTGTCATGTGTGCTGTATTTTTCATCACATTAGTGGTAATTGGTTGTTCTAGTCATATTGGAAATATCATGTCTGTACAGTTTAGAATACCATTCATGGAGTCATAAATTGTTAAATAACTGCTAAGATAATACATACAGATTTTATGTATGACATGAGCGATCATCACTTCTATTAAATAAGATAGCAGTGCAGACTGAAATAAACTGTATATACTGATGGATATGAGCACATTAAATGTATGGTAATGTAGGAATATGAAGTGTAGTTTAGGTTGAAATCTTTTTTCTTAAAAATTAAAGAATTACAGTAAATCCTTTTACATTTGGATTGCATTTGAAAAACTGATACTGTGCTTGAAAAACAAATAATTTTAAACAGAATTGTAACTGTAGATCTCATGGGTGTATGACCAGTTATGGATGATTTCATGACTTAGCAGTTTGTCTCAGTAATTTGCTATACAGTATTTCCATTCCCTTCCATTCCCTCAAGCAACCTCCAAGTCTGAAAGTAATCAAGACAAACTTTTCATTGTTTTTCCTGTTTTTGTCTCGAGATGAATGTTGGTCTATGCCTTAAGAAAAAAAAAATACATACAGCTCCTCAGGCCAGTTGATGTATATTTTGGCAAGCTGTGTATGCTTTATTCTGTGTGCTACACTGGAAAAGGCTTGCAACAGCTCTTTAAAACTAATTTTACTTTGGCCTCTTGGCATCCCAGAACTCTATCTCTCGATAGTGTCTTTAGTGGTAAATACTACCCTTCTGTATGTTTTGCTTTTTTATTGTCAATTTTTAACTTGATTGCTAGGCTTTGAGCCAGGCTTATACAGTATTATGTGGCCTTAAAAATGAAGTCAGTCAAACTTTTATTTCTGTATTTTTCATATTACCATATATGCCTGATGGAAAATGTTTGTTCTTTAACTGTATAAATGTTAACATTAGAACTGTACATTATGCTCCTGCATCTCTATTTGTGTGATGTCAAGACAACTCTAAGCCTTCAAGTTACCACCTTGATTTGCGTGCTATATGCTCTTTGAGCTGAACATTTCAAGTATATTTAATCTTTCCTATACTTATTTCTCTTTCCCTTTTTTATCAACTTAATAATCAATTAATAATTTATTGAATTATTTAATAATAATAATTAATAATTCCTTACACTTATGTAGCGCTTTTATGGACACTTCACTTAAAGGGCTTTAGAAGTAATGGGGTCTCCCCTTCACCACCACCAATGTGTAGCCCCACCTGATGATGCGACGGCAGCCATAGTGCGCCAGAACGCTCACCACACATCATCTATCAGTGGGGAGGAGAGCAGAGTAATGAAGCCAATTCACAGATGAGGATTATTAGGACGCCATGATTGGTAAGGGCCAATGGGAAATTAGGCCAGGACGCTGGGGTTACACCCCTATTCTTTTTGAGAAATGCCCTGGGATTTTCAATGACCTCAGAGAGTCAGGACCTCGGTTTTACATCTCATCCGAAGGAGCATAATATGTAGAGCCCACTCTAGATGTTTTTGAGCATTTCTTCATCTGTACATGCATTTGTGCTGTAACACTTCCCATTACACCCGATGTGCAAACTTTCCAACTTTCATACCTTTGTTGTATCTTTGTACTGTGAAAAATTCTGTACATGTTTAACAACATACATAGTAATCACTTATATATTTTTATTTGAAGGAGACTACCCATGGGATTAACAGGTTATTAGTTAATGTTACCTGGAACACCTAAATTGTGCTAGTCACCAACTTTTTAATCTTCCTTGCTTGCCAATGTCTTTTATTGCTCAGGATTTTTAATTTTTTGCAATCAACTATAAATGTAGTTTAAGGGGTCTCTGGCATGCATTCATTACCCTTAATACTGCCGTTATCTGTGACCAAATATTCAGTTGAACTATTTACATTTTTCCAGGAGAATTGACTGAGGAGTGGCACAATTTCTGGCACTGGTAATCTTAAAGTGCAGTGAACCAGAGCACTTTCTTTATTGCATATATTGCTAAATGTCAGACTGAATAAACTTCACTTTGACTTTAATTATGCTGCCAAAAATTAGTGATATAAATGACCTTAAAAATAAAATCTCCTTTGTCAGTTCTCCAGAAATAGGTGGGTGGGGGGGAGAGTAAATTCTTTGTCCTGCACTGCCTAGAAAATAGTACTCAAGCTTGTCTGTGTAACATCTCCTCCGGCATACACTCTTTCTTATCGTAGTCCTCACTATTCAGCACAACCCCCCCCCCCCCCCCTTCAAGCAATTTGCAAAAAGCTTTTGTGTAACAGAGCAGCAAGTGACTCAGTTGGTAGTAATGAGCTCCATAGCTTTGCATGTACAACCTGTTGACGCCTCACGGATGAGTTGTCATGCTGCATTATCTCCAGATACTGATGAGCAGTGTTCTGGCTGGGATGGATGGTAGGCTGTGCATAAAGGACAGTTCTTATGAAAGAAATGATGGACACATTCACCTCGGTAAATCCCACCGGCCCCTTTTGTTGAATTGCTGTGTGCTGCTGCTGCAGCTGCTGAAGCTACTGCTGTTTCTGCTGCAGCCTCTGCTGCTCAATGTACTGAATTCCAGCTAAAGCGAGCAGCCCCGATGGCTACCTGCTGAGTAGGAGAATTTCACCAAGCAGCTGCTTCTTAGTTTGATAATTCCGCCACCTAGTTTTGTAACACGTTAATTGCTTTAGGGAAACTGCTGCACTGCTTGGGCTAAGCAGCGTGGATGAATTTGAAGCAGCAGGGGTTTGATTCCAGACTATTAGGGTATGTGATTCCGTGACAGAGAAGATGGATGAATAAAAGTCTGTATTATACACAACATCAATCCTGCCCTACCTTTCCTTTTAATACTCTTCACCCGCCTCTCCCTCAATGCCTTCTGTGTCTCTGTATCTGTTGTACCGTATTTGGTTTTCTGAAGGTGTGTTAATGCTTTCTGAGTGCAGAGTTTGAGAGTGGTGAACCAGATCTTTACCTCGAAGCCTTCAGCAAATCTGACTGCAAATCCTGGATTGCGGCACTCCGAGAGGCAAACTCTGAAGGTTTGCAAAAAAGGATCCGGCACCTTCAGCAGCTCATCATGGAAATTCAAGGCAGCGAGCCGGCAGACAGCCTAGGGAGGGAAATAACCCAGGCAGGTGAGTAACTGAGACTTCTGCTTCCTTTTCCTTTTTTGTAATGTACTTCTGACTAGCAGCTGCTGTTTCTAACTCTCTTGCAAGCAGTGTTTCTGAAGTCTGAATACTGCATCCCATGATGTATACTTTTTTTTTGCATTCCTAGAATCATTCAAATCTCATGTAGCAAAACAATGTGAAGAAGAAAAGTCACATTTTTCAAAGTATAAAGCAATACTCAGGTTCAGAAATTACTTTTTAGGGTGCAAGTTTTGCTGGCCGTTGATCCATCTCTTTCTTACAGATGATTTTTCCTTGTTGGGCATGAAAAGTGATTGGAGCCTTTATTAAAATAAATTAATCACATTTAAAATAGTTCTCAATTCATTTCAATTTGTAAGCTTGGAAGGCACTGAATTATATTCCAAACTAGAGTTATATCCCCTCTAGCAGAGCTTTTCTCCTGTTTCCCAAAAACATTATGATAATGTACTCCACTAATCTTCCTGTATGAAAAGTCTTGTCATTTTGATCTATACTACTGTATACAACATTTTTTTAAATTAGAAAAAAATATTGTATGCTTGTCAGTGGTTTCTGTCCTTGGGTTAGTGCTGACACAGCACAAAATTAGAATAATGTCAAAGAAACAGAGACAAAACATACAGAAAAAATTACATTATTACTGTAAAATTAGAGAACCATGGAGTCCGCAGAATATCCTCCTTTGGACACATTAGTGGGGTTTTGAAGGCTGTAAAATGAAGGGATTTAAATCAGTCAGAAAGCCTGTGTATTTTGTTTACGATAAAGGATTTTACAGTCGTTGCATAAAAAAGTTAAACATAATTTTCTTATTAAAGATAAAGAGTGTGGAATTAGTGTGTGATGTTTTTTGGTTAAAATGTACTGTAATGTCTTTCATTTAGAGTAAATTCTTTCTGTTCCACAAACTCTGATTATGCACTCCACTTACCTTCCTGATCAAAAGTGACAAAGAGCTAACAAATGAATCCACATTGCAATTTTAATTAAATAATGATAGAGGATTCATCTAATGTTTTGGGGAAGAAACAAGACATTCATTTCATAGATAAAAATTAAGAAGTTTTCATACTTTTCCAATCTGGTTTATTTTAAAAGTCTAAAAATGTACTTTAAGAGAAGCGGTATGTATTCACTCCAGACTTTTCAGATCGTAAAACCAGAAGCAATATTTGATGCTTGTCTTGTTTACTGAGCTCAAATATTTAAAAAGATGTCTGCTTGAACAAGAAATTGAAAGAAGTGAATCTATAGCAGAGGTATTTTGTGATGTTATTACAATAACATGTTATTGTTATTTTCTAGTACTTTTCCAGTGTCAGTTTAAGGTTTTGACCAAAAGGTATAATAGAAAACCTGTCCTGCTCTGATTCCTGATGTGTTTCTTATTATCGTCTTTAATATTTCTCTCACAACTACTGGCGGGTGAAGACGATGAGGCAGTCCTACTTGCAAGGTTTAACATTCCTAGTTCACAAGTTCAAAATGTAAACAAAATAAACTTAATCAGAATATTGACTCCGTCTTCAAAACTGGTGTAAAAACACCAAAAGGGTTAAAGAAGAAGTCTTTGTTTACCCATTTAATTACACTTGTTACTGCACACGCTTATACTGTACCAGTTTGATGTATGCAAATCCAACTTCAAGCAGAAATTCTCTGAATGAGATCTGTCCTTGTAAAACTAAAATGCAGGATTACGGGGTGAAATAATTTATGAGCGTCAATTAGACTGTTTTCCACGAATTCCGCTTTTAAATGTGTTTATAAGGAAAGCAAAGGAATAAGCCCTCTGTCACCCGAAATTCCCCTTTGGCTATACATGTTTTGTTTAATGGAAACTCATGCTTCAGAGGATAAGATGTACTGCTTATCAAAGAAGAAATAAATATGCTACTGTATATTACTGGTAAAACTGTAGCCTACGATGGGTACACCAGGGGGTTAAATGAACATCACTGAGATAGACTTTCAAATCCCAGAGTATTCATTAATGCTGCCACCTTAGAGAAATAACTCTGCACCTCTGCATATATTATTTCTTTCACAGACAAAAGGTGATAAATGCTACGTTCTCTGTTATTTCTAGATGTAGATGAAACACATCGCTCTTAGGCACACCTCATTTTATTCACCTTTCAAGCAAATCCATATAGCTGGCCTGACAGCTACTGTATGTTCATATTTCTCAAGCTTGTGCATTTTATACTACTGCATTTTTTTTCCATTTCTGTCCATTAACAAAGGCATGTACAGTATGGTTCAGACTTTATTTAATGAACTTAAAGGTCCTTTAGTGGAGATGCTTAAAACAGGGTATAAAGATCAGTGCAGTCATGCACACACTTATTTAATTGTATTCAGCCAACAGCAATAAACTGAATATACTTATAAAGAATATAAGTTCCTTAAATTGAATTGTTGGCACTGATGTTCATTGGCACACAGGTGTATAATGTACTGTACAACTGGAGCTTTAGAGTTCAATGAGAAATAAATCACTGAAAGACTCTAAGGCTTAAAAATTTATTTCACCCAATGATTTAAAGAATAATGTTCAAAGGATTAATTTTTGGGATTGTGTGTGTGCAATGATTTCATTCTTATAAGCACAACATAAAAATGTAGCGGGTGGTTTATGAAGAAAAATCAGTGCCAAGATGCATCACGAAGGAACTCAAGGCAATGAATGTTTGATAACTTATACTCTGACATATTCTGTAATAGAAGAAATATGCTACATCCTATTAGCATAATCTGAATTGCTACCACTATCAATCATTAAGGGTTTTCAGAGATACTGCATTTCATGCATTTTGTTCATTCTTTAAAAAATGTGCAAAATCATTGACATAGTTTTACTCTGCTGCTTTATCAGTATTGAAATATCATTCTTTGTCATCTCAGTTCAAATTGACTCCATTAATTAACAATTCCACACTTGCTGCACGTCTGTGCCAGCTTTAAAGAAGAAAACTGTCAATTTCTAATTTGAATGAAATGAAAGAGGTTTATTTTTTCTGTGGTATCTCTAGAACTAAGTGTTCTTTACAATTTATAGTATGTTAGCTACACGGACAATTCTACTTTGCATTGCATTATTGAAAGTCTTGTTTATCTTCCAAAAAGTGGTGATCTTTTTGTTTTCCTTGACCAATGTTTCATCTTTTTCTGATATCTGTAGTTTGCTCTGTCTCTTGTTTAGATACACACTTGGCATGTTATGTCACTTGATATCAACTTTGCTTTTCTTTTATGTTGATGGATCTGGAATATATTATCACCAGATTATCATTAGCATCATATGTCAAAACAGCATCTGATTTTTTGCTTATCTGTTTTTTCTTCCACAGCTGGTGCAGTAATGATTCCAAAGCTGCCGAATGTGGAGTTTAGCCTAGGTAAGTACATTTTTGGCTTTTCAGCTGCCTTTTTTTTGTTAAATGCCATCTTTAGTTTGTAATGAACCCAAAGGAGCTTTTACATTAAATGCCACATTACTTATCAGTTTTCATTTATACACCTTAGTCTAATTAGGAGGAAATTACAGTACCTTGACAATCATTGTCTCTTTAAAATATTGAAGTGTAATATACTTGGAGCAGAATTCCTTCTAATATACTGCCAGGTATTTTTAAAGTATCTGTAACAGAGTAGTGTGATTTACTGAAAGCTTTGCTTTTTTGAACAGATACCAATTGCCTGTGATTGATTTTTCTTTTCTTTTTTAATATAGAACATTTCTATCCTTATTTTCCACTCTGGGCGAGCTGCCCACTCCATACTGAATTGATTAGATGTGCAATTTTCCCACAGGGAAAATCGTGGCTTTTGTTTTCTTTTCTCTAATTTGGAGTTTCCAGCATAAGTCTCCAGTCTACCATCACAGCCTCACAGATTTATTGTCCTGTCATCTTATGCTGGGGTCATATCCTCCTGCCTGTGTTGAACCCAGTTTTTACATGCTGCCAAGCTACAGAATTCAGAAAGAGAACTCATCTCAGCCCAAGTAAAGGAAAGATTAGATCAGTGGTTCTCAAACTGTGGTACGCGTACCTGCAGTGGTACGTGGAGTGCCGCCAAGTGGTACGCCAAATGACCCTGGAACTATGTCGTGTGCGCTGAAAAATCGGGACGGGTTTTCATATTTTGAATTTTAATACGTGTCGAATACGCAGCCTGCGGACTACGATACAGTGCGCGCTAATACTTCAGTGGACACGAGATACTCTGTAATTCTATACCACTCTATAGGAATGCGTGCTACGGATGCAAGTGACCAGTTGTATTTAAAAAAAGCTACTGTATCTCCAGCAAATAGGGAGAAAGGAGAATGTGCGTGATTTTGGAACAATGCCAACGTTGTAAACACAGGAATGCATAGAAATACGTGCTACGAACGCAGGTAATCTTGTGAGCACACGAAAGCGTGATAACAGAAAAATATTTAAGAACTGTTTTAATTTGAGAAAAATACACCGAGTGTCTCTGTGTTTCACTCCCATGCGCATGAAATAAAAACTTTAAGTAAATATGGAAATAAAAACGGAAACGCGTAAAAATGCAAGCTTGCGTATTGCTAAAGCAGGTAAGCTACACTATTTTTGAAGAACCTTATTTACCGTTGGCAAAAGAGCTGACACGTATTATGTGTAGAGAAAAAGCTGCTAAACAGCTCGACCTCCTGCCCCCCTCCCCCTGAAAGACACAGTCATTCATAGAATTATTGAAATGAAGGATTATATCAAAAGTACACTGGTAGAGCACGTTAAGATGAGCAGATGTTTTTCACTGCAATTTGATGAGTCTGTAGTCGATTTGGCCAATTTGTTAATGAAATTAATGTACGCATTACAACATCCACCGTCAAGTAAATGCCTGACGATTTAATATCTGTTAGACTCTGTTGTGAATTGTATCAAGGCTCGAAAAATTAATTCACATCTGCTTTGCTCAACTTAACAGGCTCACCCCTCTCACTGAAATGGTGCTTTTTTATTAGTTGTTAATGTTTTTTTTTCTGTAAAACACTTTGAGAAGCCACCTTTAAAGGCGCTATATCAAATAAAGTGTATTATTATAATATTTATTATATGTATGTGTGAGTGTGTGTGCAGGCGCGCTCATGTTGGTCATTGAGAATTTCTGGGGTTCCTATGAGATGATGACTTGTAGGTGGTACTTGGATGCTTTGGTTGGATTAGGGGTGGTACTTGGTCCAAAAAGTTTGAGAACCACTGGATTAGATAACTGGTTTGATGTAGATTTACCCTCACCTAATTGACAATTACATTGTGATTGAAGGTCTCAGTTAAGTGAAGGTAGGACACAAGCAAGTGATGCCATAATAATGACAATACAGATTCCTTCGAACAGTGTAGCTGCATTGCCATTGAAACCAAAAGATCATTCTCGTGAGTTTTTCCATGAAATATTTAGACTTCAAGTTCTTTCTCACTGTTGAATTTGTACAGTATGCTTCCATTTCATGCTTTCCCACTTACTCTCTGGTTTTTAGTTGTAGACTTACAGTAAGTGTCAGCACAGGTCACTGTGTATGCTTAAAATTCATCACCCTCAATCTGAAATCTCTCAGACAAATCGGTGCATATCCTCATGGTCTTCGATAGTATACATGGGACCCATCTGGCACTTTTTCTTCATTGCACAGTTCATTAAATGTGCTGCAACATTTGAACTTTAGCCAGTGCTACTATATTGGAGCTCTTCTAGTATCTACAGGGTTGAAAACATCCTTGTAGCAATGTCACTATGTGACAAAGAAACTGAACTGTAACAAAATAATCAAAGTGTGTTTCCAATGAGTTTTCTATTTTTCCATTCATCTGTTTAAATGATTCACAGTAACACTTGCCAAGCTTTTATAGTGTGATTGGTAGTTAATCATTATTTATTGCAACCACTGTTAGAAATGCTTATACAGTACATGACAGAAAACTGAAATGCTCCAAAGGACCTTTGTAATTATGCAGTAACTTCAAAATGAGATATGCATAATAAAAATAAGATTTATATTTAAATGAATATAGAATATATAGATATTATACAGAGGGTCAAATACTGTATCTATCTGGCATTGGAAATTTCTTAGAAACTGGACAGTCTTATTGTATGCTTATCCTCAGAAGCAATATTATATAACAAGCTAATTGCCTTTTTCTTTAAGTGTTGTGTTTCATGTCTACCCCCAAAAAACTACAGGAGAAACTGTACTTCTAAATTGTTTGGAGAATGAACTAGCCTGCCCCTGGTGCAGGAGTAAGGTAGGGCACAGTGGGGAAACTCCTATTTCTATTACCATAAGAAAGCAGGCTAGAGATGACAGGATCTTTGTAACTCATTCAGTTTTTAGGATCTTGATCATAGGATGATCCTATCAAGACATTTCCTGAATTTCCTGAAAGCTCACAGCACCTCAGAAGATAATTTGTAGCTTTTTCCACATACATTTCTACATACTGTACCAACATCCCTTGGCGTGAAATCCTTTTCTCTTATGACAGATTTATGGCTGACATTAACTAAACAAACAAATCTATTCTTCATCTTTTCGAGAGGTATTTTTTCCCAATTTACATAATGTGCCTATTCTGAAGTAACTAAAGTTACTAAACCAGAGTAACCGTATGTTACTTTGGTTAAAAAATATAAACAGAAAACTTTCTTTTGGGAATGTAATTAAGATTCAAAAGTGTAAGAAATACATTTGAACTTCAAATGGGTTCAAGTGGGTTGTGTACAGTACATCTATATCAACAATTAACACCCGTCAGTTTCTAATTGTGTAGAGGGATTTCTATCTTAATATTGTGTTTCCAGAGCTTCATTACTTCAACTTCATTACTATATCAAGTTTTTTTTATTTGAATCCACCTTAACAGAGCTAATTAACTATCTTCATAAAAATGTAATGATAGGTAGTAAATTTCATTCAAATCGTTATTTGTCTTTTGAAAATAGAGCCTTAACAGCACCGAGATTGTATTCTAAAAGTCTAGATTAAATGGAAGATACAGTAACTGAGATGCATTCGGTACATAAGGGTATGGTGGAGGATGCACTGAATGTAATATTGAACAATCACATCCATTAGGGAAAGGGTGCTGGTTGTTTATGAGGAATTATGCTTGCTTTTACTAACCCATTATAGGATTCTTATAAATGCCTGGAAAACAAGTCCTGCAATGCTTGTTGTAAAATGCTTCATAGGAATTAGAAAAGCCTTCTGTAAAAATAGGACCTAAATATATCTTGTTTATTCCTAGCGTACCACTGAATATAGTATCTGTGTCATTATATTTATTTTTCAAGATACTCTACGCATCACATTGTCACATAAAAATATTTAAGATGTCCTCACCCTTGGCCACAATTGTACCAACAAAAAAAAAAAATACCTTGAAATGTTGAAGTTTGTTAGTTTTATTATGAGGACACTTTAAAATCAGATCTGGATGACAGAAAAACAATCATGAAAGTTTTAATCCTTATTCATATTTTTTTAAATAGGTTAGACAGAGTAGACATCCGCCAATGGAATTTTGGATATTGATATATTCATAAGATGGGGAGGACTGAGGTTATATACCAACACTACCAGCCCTGCCAATAAGGAGAAAGACACCCTGTTTTTTGACCTGTACAGAGATCCCATGGTTCTATCTCTTCCTCTTTTGTTTTCAACCTACCTATGAGATTGAGCTATTTCTGCCTTGTTTTGAGTGTGTGTGTTTCCACTGGTATGCTGGCCTATGCCTCTTCTATTGAGTGATCCACACTTACAGTACCTCTGTCCCTCTTGCTGTGTGGTGGGTTTGCACCTTCAGTGTCCACAACTGTTTTACCTTCTGCCTACCTGTGCACCCTGTGAACATGCATCTCTGGACTCTCTGAGCCTGTCCTGCTTTGAGCTCTCAGTGCATCTGTACTCCCTTCTCCTTTACTGCATTTTTCGTTTCTGAAGGGATCCTAGGCAGCATGCCTCCAGGCTTTATTCAGGCCACTTACTTTACATTAGGGTGTGCACCAAAGAAAAGTAATGGAACTTATCAGTAACTGTACAGTTGCCTGTGATTCATAATGCCAGCTTTTCAAAGCTGCAATATGTACAGAAAGAAGCTCCAGAGGGTGGCCCTGACCATGTTTCACACTTCATACTTCATGTGAAGTACATGGTAGAGAAGAGGGATATACCTTTTCTCCACCGTTTCATGTTAAAGGGTTCAAATTCCATATATCACTGCAAGGGATGGAGGGAGAAGGGCTTTTACAGGTTTTTCTTCTAGAGACCCCAATGTCACAGCATCTAGGGAAGCTCCCTTTCCTGATGGGTCTGTATAAAGTGTGAGATCTTATTGAGTGGCCTTCACCGCTGGATCAT